TATATATGTATGTGTATATATATATGGGTCATGTGTCAAATTGTATTTCCAAAGTTTAAAGTTATCAATTGAAGTGTTCTTAATCACATAATATATGAGACAATGCTATTCTAAAAGAATACCACATACCACCCCGTCGTTCTGTTTCCCATTTTAAAATTGATTGAATTGGAGCTTAAATGTACAAGGTAAAATGTCTGCTTTGAGTAGGAAAGGTCAAGGGGCATTGATGTAGGATAATAACTTTATTTTCTGTTAACTTAACCCTGTTTGGTTCATCTCACTCACTATCTCTCACTATCTCACTCCCTCAGTAACTCTCTCACTATCTCTCACTATCTCACTCCCTCAGTAACTCTCACTATCTCTCTCACTATCTCACTCCCTCAGTAACTCTCACTATTTCACTCCCTCAGTAACTCTCACTATCTCTCACTATCTCACTCCCTCAGTAACTCTCTCACTATCTCTCTATCTCACTCCCTCAGTAACTCTCTCTCACTATCTCACTCCCTCAGTAACTCTCTCACTATCTCACTCCCTCAGTATCTCTCTCACTATCTCACTCCCTCAGTAACTCTCTCACTATCTCACTCCCTCAGTAACTCTCACTATCTCACTCCCTCAGTAACTCTCTCTCTTTCTGTTGGCATTTTGAATGGTCAGTATTTGTTGTTCTTTGCTATGATGTTCGGTATTCATAAAGCCTGATTTGATATATCTTTTGGATCTTGTATCATTCAATTATCATCAAGTCATTTCCACATTTATATCCAGAATGAACAAAAAAACGTTTATAATGTTAAACAAAGGCTAAAACCAACAAATCAAATAGTGACAGTGACAGCCACCCACCCTGTCACAAGTTACCACCCCATCACAGTGTAATTTTCTTTAAAAATGATGGATAGGGCATGAAATACTTCATACATTAATGTGGAACAGTGCTCTTATTTTGTTGACTAATTAAATAAATGTAACTTTTATTTGACAATTTGAAGTGAAATTGTATTTTTTGTTTAAAAAGTGAGGCAGTTGATAGGTCAAATTCATATTTCAAGATTAAGAATCTGAAAATTAAAAAAATGAATTAAATAACATGGTTTTAATTGGTAGTATCCAAAAAAGGGACATTTTACTGGTAGGAAAACATTAAATTTTTAAAAATGATTTAATGTATTACTACTCATATTGTGTGCATATTGTCCTTGACGGGGTGGTACAAGAATGACTCCCCGGTCTGAATAAAACGTGTAATATTAATAAATATTTAATGCCTGAGGTGGGAAAATATGTTTTCTTGGAGGTTTAACATGTCTTTCATATTGTGGATTTTTGCAAAGTGGAAATGGCACCCGTTTCATAGAATGACCCATATACATACATATATATATATATATATATATATATATATGTATATGTATATATATATAGATATATAGATGTATGTTCCTGTCTTTTGGAGATCAGCTCATCATCTACTCACTTAACTATTCAGTGTCATCCTCCTGCAGAGCCGGAGAACCGCTATTTTAGACGTGCACATGTGCGAGCTGGAGACGGCTGGGCATCTGTCAATCATTTTTTAATGTGACCAGTGAAAGGCTCACTCCCCTGTCAGTCAAACACTTATCAGTTTTTAATTCAGTCAATCACATCACAGCAGTGGGAGGAGTCAACATTTCCACTAGCTAGCTATGCTAGTGCTAACTAGCATCTGTGTATCAACTCCCCGATCACACCAGAATATCGTAACTTAAACCACAGCTCATTGTAGCAGGACCACTGAGACCACCTGTTTTGTTTAGATTATAGCACAACTAACAACCAATCATTGTTGTTCTGGCTGTTCTAGCACAGCTTGCATGCTAGCTAAGTTAGCTTAAAAGTTTTTTTTATTTCCACTTTAAAACGTTGCTATCTGTCTGTCGAGGGTAAAAGCTAGGATGGATGATCTGGATGGACACGAAACCTCCAGGGAAAAAGGACAGAGTCCATGTCTCACACTGAGGGAAGCCGACAGACCCCGCCCACTGACGTTCTGCCCTCCGTCTGGTTCTTGTAGCGGAGGAGCAGATCACAGCCTGGGTCAGCGGGTCTGATGGAGGCTGTTCAGGAGCTCAGACTCAGGACACTTGTCTTACATGTCCCCGGGGGTTTCACGTCCCTGTCTTCAGGATGGGTGGACGTGTTCCTCGTCCATTTTAGCACTAATCCAAGTCAAAGCACCAACAGACGGAGACGTTTTAATCAACATTTTAAAGAGTAAACTTTTCAGCGAGCTAACGCTGCAGCCACAAACAAACATGAAGGATCCATCGTCTGTTTGATCATCTGAACAGAGAACACGTTTCCTCTCAGTGCTCCTCCTAAAATGTTTCTATATTCTCTATTGATAGATAATTAAGGAGCTGATCAGGAGACAGTGTTAGCTAACAAGCTAATGTGGTAGGTAGTAGAAAAGTTTCTGCTTTAAATATGCTTTTTTACAACAACTATCTAACATATGTTTTTAACAATATCCTTCTGTCAAACATTAAACTGAGAGTCTGGTGCTCGCACATGTGAACGTCTAAAATGGCGTCTCTCCAGCTCTGTAGGCGGATGTTTCTCCAACCAGTCACAGGAAACAAAACTTTGACCAGGGCTGTCCAAGCTTTTACAGGACACTGTAGACATGGACGTCCAACAGGACAAAGACAACAGAGACAGTCTGTGAGACATCTCATTGTCTCTGATGTCCGTCATGATTAAACATCCATTAAACAGAAACCAGAGAAGAGACAGGAAGCAGAATAATGTTCCTGAACACACAGGTGAAGCTTTACTCTGTAGAACGGTCACACACAGACGTCGTCATCATCGTCAGAACGTCCGTTTGATACAACAAATACAGAAAAACCTTCAGACAGGAAACACCAGAGGACGACAGACACCACAGGTACAGACAAGTCTTCATATCAAATCTGTGCTAGAGACAAAATACATAGTTTCATGAATCAGTTAAGAGTCTTATTAATGATGTCACTTCCTGTCATAAAAAACAGTCACTAAATCAGAGCTGGAACAAGAACATGATTTCACTTTGAATCAAAAATCCTAAAATATTCTGGTGACATTAAACATGAACTCGAACAAAACAAACATCTGAATGTTGTTACATGACGTAAACGTATCAAACTAAACAACTAAACAAGACGCATGAATCCTCAGTGAAGGATAATAAAAACACTCGTTAGTTGTTGTCTGCGGACTGACCCTTTATTCACCACACATCTAACAGTTTGTCAGACAGGAAGTGATGAATGACGTATTTTAAAATGGCCGCTGAGTTCGAGCAGGTATGACTGCAGCTGCTACGTGACTCCGCCCACCTTTACCTACACGTCAGTCCACGATAAGCCCCCCCGCCCCCCTTCCTCAGCCCTGATGCCAGAGTCCCACTGAAATTACTATGTTAGTGATTAGCTAACGTTAGCTAAGAAGCATTACGTTAAAATAGACGTGGTTAAGGTTAGGGTAAGGGTAACCGTAAGGGTCACACCTTGCTACTTATGCTAAGTTAGCCATCAGCTAACCATCTTCAGTTGACATAAGGGTAACAGGAAGGCTACATCTCATTACTTATGCTAATGCTAAATTAGGGATTAGCTAGCTAAAAGTAATAATATTAAAAGAGAGGAGGTTAAGGTCAGGGTAAGGGTAACAGTAAGGGTCACACCTCGTTACTTATGAAGTGAATGACGTCTTAATGTATGATGAATCGTGAAGTGGATTGTTGCTACATTCACTACATCGTAGCATCGCAGCAGGGTTCAGAGAGCAGTCCCGTTGGTGGGATTGTCTCGTACGTGTGGTGGGCGTGGTCTGTACTGTTGCCAACTCCTCAGTAAGAAAAGTAGCTATTGGCTGTCCTAAAAGTCGCTAGAAGTCGCTAAAAGACGTCATCGCCTAATTTGCATAATTGTCCATATGCATGTAATTGTAATGGCTGCTGTAGGAGAGAGGAGAGAAAAAAACTGAGTAAAAAAACACCCTGAATATGTTTAGAACTACAAATGAACCTTTTTTCAGTGATTTATATTAGACAAAGAAAATTTTACATTTACATCCCGCCCGGACTGTAAACCAGGTCGGGATCAGCCAGCGGCGGTTCCGCGCATGTGCGATTCACTTGTAGTCTGGACGTGGAGGGGTTAACGTCTCCTGCTCTGACTGCAGCTGGGAGGGAGGACTGGGCCGTCTGTGAGTGCTTTGGGGCGAGAGAGGAGCTCACGGTACGGCAGCATCCGCTGCTCGTTGAGAAGAATAAGGATGATACGTGCTCTCACAACAGAGTCTCCAGAAGTCTTCAATAACATCAGAAAAAGTCACTAGATTTGTCGCTAGTCGCTTTTTTGAAAAAGAGTCGCTAGAGGGGTCTGAAAAGACGCTAAATATAACGACAAAGTCGCTAAGTTGGCAACACTGGTGGTTTGACCAGGCGTGTCATGTACGCCACAGACAGAACGTGTCTGCAGCTGTCCACATCTGTCTCTATCTGTCTCAGTCTTTTGTCCTTCACAGGTTTCTGTTTCACATCTTAGTACATGAGGTCCGCCGCCCCCCCGCTCAGGTCCGCCTCTTTGCTCTCCTGGAAGGGAAACTGGATCCCCGCCAGTCGGATCAGCAGGAAGTTGAGCGAGTGGAGGAGGAAGACAAGGAAGAAGAGCCAGAAGGATCGGTCGTAGTGCTCGGTGTATGTCTGGAAGACAAAGTTCACCTCATTGAAGTTGGCGATCCGATCGGACAGATGATGAAGTTTCACCTCCGACGCAAACAGGATCATCACCAGACAGCTGCAGAGACCTGCCACACAAACAGGAAGTCACCGTCAGTAAAGTTTCACCTAACTAACAACGTGTTTTTATTTATTTATAACTTTGATTGTGAAGTTTTCTGGTCCCTCACAGTGGCTCTCATCAGTGAAACTAACGTACAACAAAACTGGGCGTGAGGTTATTTCAACGTAAAGCTCTACGTGTATCTACGTGGACGTGAGCTGAGGCTATGATCAAATGTGACATCAGGTCAAAGGTGGTGTACGTGGCGACTGATGGTGCAGCAGGAAATCTGATGGAGGTGGAGAAATGTGATCAGACCAGATCCAGACGGATGTCTGAAAACTTACAGAAACATATTTATCACTTAACGTCAGCGTTTCTATTTTCTCAGCTCAGAGAACTTCCTGTTGTTGGCTGTATCATGCCTCGTCATGACACCGGCGCACCGTGAGGACGGAAACAGAGGGCTCAGCTGCTACGGAGCACCTGCTGCAGCAAGCCAACACGCCGTCTGTGGTCATTTTGACTTGACCAGAAGACTTCACTACAAGCTGATTGGCTGTTGAAACAGGTGACGTGCTTTAAAACCAGCTGCCTGCCATTTGACCAGCTGAGTGTCAGGTGACATCATCAGCCGGCTTGAGTCCAGCTCAGACCGGCCAGTTCACAGTGCTGACACTTTTCTCTGTGATGTTCTGAAACAGTTTTGTCTTGTCGTGAATCTTTGGTCTGAACTGGACTCAGTCAGAATGAAGTCTTCTTGTCTGTTCTTGTATAAAATGTGTCACTTCCTGCGGGCTGTCAGGTGAACCGTACTGATTATCTTCATTAACTGTGAGGGGTTAGTGAATGAGTATGAGTGAGTGACAGTAGATGACAGGCTGACAGCAGGTGGAGGTGAGGTGAGATGACATCAGAGGCGTGTTGTCTCTCAGGTTGTTTCCTGCGGCCTTTTCTTTTCCCGTCTCGCCGTCTCCTGCCTCGGACTCTGTTTCTCTAATCGCACCAATTATCAGACACTTCCTGTCTGGGCTAATCCTCTTCAGGGTCGCAGGGGAGCTGGCTGCGATCCCACAGTGCACTGCGTTATTATCCTACAGTGATACCCCACAGATCTGGTACTAAAAGGTGGAGCTAGAAACCCTGCAGTCTGATTGGTCAGTAGAGGACGCTCACTCTGGTTTTATGTAACCTCTGTTCATACATCAGTAAACTACAACTATAAAATGAAAGAGAAAAAAATAACTTCATTCACTGGGCCGACTGCCGGCAACTTTTAAGGTGGAACGTTAACTTGTAATGTTACTCAATGCATGAGTTGATGACGTGAATCCATCAGCACACCTTAAATTTCACTGTGACAACTTTGACCATCACTTTA